ACAGCCTAGAAAGACAGATTTCCCACCATGTCTATTTGTATTCTGAAAGGCATCAACAGCAGCTGTCAGAATACCTGAACAGCAGCTGAATCTGGTTGGAAAAATTTCCTTCCAGGCTCTTTACATTTTTCCAATTGAATGATGCCAGGGAGGAGGGTGGTCACAGGGCCACACACAGAGAGTATTTTCGTGGGTTCCTGATGAAATTCCAATAGCGATTAGCCAGCTTTACTTTCATTCGAGTATGTAATGTAGACAGAGCTAGTGAAATAAAGAAGTTTGATTCATGTGCCTAAATAGAAATATAAAAGCAGCTATTCTAAAATAATTTTAATTAAGTTTTAAAGATACTATCCAGTAAAATTGACAAATTAAACATTGACATTCTTACAACCCCAGTTCCAAAAAAGCTGTGACGCTCTGTGAAATCTACATATAAAAACAGAATGCAATGATTTGCAAATCTCATAAACCCATATTTTATTCACAATAGAAAATAGAAAATCAAATGTTTAAACTGAGAAAATGTACCATTTTAAGAAAAAAATAAGGTTATTTTGAAATGTATGGCAGCAACATGTCTCAAAAAAGTTGGGACAGGGCAACAAAAAACTGCAAAGTAAGTACTACTAACAAGGAGAACTGGAAGTACATTTTGCAACTAAATGGGTTAATTGGCAATAGATCAGTAACATGATCGGGTATAAAAAGAGCATATTAGAGAGTCAGAGTATCTCAGAAGTAAAGGTTCACCTTGGCAAACAACTTCATAGTAATGTTCCTCAACGTAAAATTGCAAAGCTTTTTAATATATCATCATCTACAGTGCCTAATATCAAAGGATTCCAAGAATCTGGACAAATCTCTGTGCTCAAGGGACAAGGCTGAAACGCAATATTGGATGCCTGTGGTCTTCGAGCCCTCAGATAGCACTGCAGTTGAGGCTTTCCTGTCACTGACTGACACCTACCCACCTTCATGTAACACTTTCCTAAAGTGGAATTCCGGTCAATAGCTAATTAAGGATAAACCTTCCCCCACCCCCATTCTAAAGCTACAGTGAAGGAAATAAGTATTTGATCCCCTGCTGATTTTGAATGTTTGCCCAATCCACGAGGTGAGATCTTGCATTGTGCACCAGACCTAGGGACTGACTGACAGCTGTTTTGTGCTTCTTCCATTTGTGAATGATTGGACCAACTGTTGTCACCTTCTAACCAAGCTGCTTGGCGATAGTTTGGTAGCCTAGTCCAGCCTTGTGTAGGTCTACAATCTTGTCACTGAGATCCTTGGAGAGCTCTTTGGTCTTTGCCATGGTGAAGAGTTTGGAATCTGATTGTTTGATTGCTCCTGTGGACAGGTGTCTTCTATACAGGTAACAAAATGAGATTAGCAGCACTTCTTTTAAGAGACTGCTTCTAATCTCAGCTTGTTACCTGTATGAAAGACACCTGGTAGCCAGAAATCCTGCTGAATGATAGGGGATCAAATAATTATTTCCCTCATGAACATGCAAATCAGTGTATAATTTGTTAGACATGCATTTCTTTTGAATTTTTTGTTGCTTTTCTGTCTCTCAGTGTTACAATACACCTACCATTCAATTTTTAGATTGATCGTTTCTTTGTGAGTGGGCAAACATTCAAAATCAGCAGGGGATCAAATACCTATTTCCTTCACTGTATTGTCTAACCTTTGTGGCAGTGCGGTATCCTGCCACAGTGGAAATCATGATGGAGACCCAGGATTCTCAACTATACAGGTTGAGGGGCTCCAGGCAGATCTCATAATGCAGAGGAAACTGGTTTATCAGTTTCCTCTTTGGTTTGTAAAGCCTGTTTTGGGACCTGTAGCCTGGAGATTTCTTAGAGATTTGGGAGGGATGAAATCTCCAATCCTGGGACCATATTTTGGGAGCAGCCAGTGCGCTGATTGCACAGGTGTGTGCAGGCCTTTTTGTGGAGGCCAGGCCATGATTCTGGGCTCCACCCCGGCAGACAGGAGTCAGGAGGGCTCCACCCCGGCAAACTGAGTCAGGAGGGCTCCACTCTGGCAGACGGGAGGTCTCTGCCTTGGAGTCAGGTGGCAGCCGGACTAGCTGTGTGCTAGTGGCTATAATTTGTGGAAGGAGTCTGTAGGAGACCAATATAAAGCTGTGTAGCTGAAAGAGCCAGAAGGCTGAATTTGTTTGATCGTGGATACCCCTGTGTGGGAAGCATTTTTGTTGTTTGAACTTTCTTGTAAATAAAATTGGGCAAAAAGGCCCTTAAAAAGAAGCGAGTTTTTGTGTGCTTTGAAGAAGCTCTACCACTAGAAGCGAGTTCCCACACCTTGTAAAGAGAAAATCACTATATTTACCTTTTCTGAAGCGGCTCTGGTCCAGTCTCCAGTGGCAACTTCTGTGTGCAGGAGAGAGATGGGAAATGTCTGGGAGATAACGTCACCCATAGACTTACTATGGGGAATCCGTTGTTGGCTGCCTCTCCTGTACACTGAAGACGCCATTGACAGCTCAGCCCTAAGCTTTAGAATGGGGGTGGATGTAGGTTTAGCCTTAGTTAGCAATTGACTGGAATTTCACTTTAACTATATAATATTCAAAGACATACTCCTTGTAAATATCAATTATAGATCGAGACCATTCCTTGAGTTCAATATATTCAGTAATTTTGTTTTACTATTTGCAGATCCTTTGTAATAATATGACAGTGTAAACATTTTCGCTGCATAATATACTGTGTATGAAGAAAATGTGTCTAATATAAAGCTGCTAAAAATTAATAAATTCATAATTAAGTATTGGAAAGAAAGAGGCGCAATGAGAGCAGTAGGTTGATTGCAGCTGTTAAAGTAAAATACAGAATGTTAAAAAAAGAAACATTAAAAAAAATTCTAAAAAAAAAAAAAAACGATTATAAGCTGTTCCATGTAAATTGCATTTTTTTTAACATTTTATAGCTTGTGTAACAGAATTTATTAAAACAGTGTAGCAAATTAAAAGCCTCGTATGTTCTTATAAAACCATGTAAAAATCATTTATGTAGGCATATCAGGCCATAGTCAAGTTAACAATGCATGCTGATGCTACTAAATTAAGTCTGGTCGTATGGGTTCCAATGACTTCTGGTTACAAAACCGAGTGAGCTTCCTGACTTTAGCACAGTTCTGTGTTTATTAGATCGCATCAGTATCTGACTCAATGCTTTAATTTGATGACTGGAATTGCTCTTTAAAGCCCAATTCCAGGGTGTTATTGAACTTGGAAGAGTACCTGATCGCAGAGTAAGTTGGTCTTTGGTGTTAATGGCCATTGATAGGGTGCTTGGAGTTTTAGGGTAGATTTGGGCTTTAACTTTCATTTAACTTTCTAGAGATATTTTTGCAAATAGGAAGTATGCCTAACTTATTCAAAGATATGTGAAACAGCGCCAAATCAAATGTGAAATATTGACTTATATCTCAAAATCAATAATACCCTCTAGGCATCTGCCCCTTCAACTACAATCGTACTTACTCATATAAGTAAAGTGAATAAAAATTGGCACTAGCCAATTTATAACGTGAACATTTAAATTTTATTTAAATTTAAAATTATTACATAAAACATAGGACACTTGTGCAACATTTCATAAACACCATATAATCAAACCAAATCATAAAATAAAATATAGTGCAGTGAAGAAAAGTCCCAAACGCCAATCTGATGTGACAGTCCCAGTAATAACCAAATCTATTTGTGTTCCACTACTGTGTATAGGCCAAATGGGAACTCACCAGATCCACTCGGCCAACAAAGTAGCCAGCAGACATATAAGCACAAATCCCCTGTGCGTTTGGTGTGATGCCTAGTTATGCAGAATCCTTCAGGTTTTTCCCATTCAAGCAACACTATACCACTTCCTCCATCTTTAGCCAATTTCTCAGAAAAGAGCCCAAAAAATATTTATAGTGCAGCATTTTATAATATTAAAAAATATAAAAAAATATCGAATACACTCACATATGTTTGGTGCTATAGGGAGCACCAATCCAAACAGCTCACTAGGGGGATCCCTCTTTCCACACCGCCGCTGTTCACACGGTCGACATGTGTTCCATCCACCGGAAGTGATGTCAGAAGAATCAAAAATATATGAGTGCATTAGCTGGCGCCCATTTTTATTCACTTTATTTATATGCCTAACTTATTGTTGATTGTTTTAGACCAGTGGTTACCAACCTTATTGGGATGGGGGCTCTGTAAAATCTTTCAAAACCTTCCATGCCCCAAAAGTAAAAAAAAAGTTTATACCAACACAATAAAAATATGGAAAAATATTATTATTATTAATATTATACAGGATTTATATATATAGCACCAACAGTTTGCGCAGCGCTTAACAAAATTAAGGTAGACATTAGTTACAATACAATTTGGTACAAGAGGAAATAGATTTTACAAAATATGTATTGAAATGCTGGAGGGCTCTGAATGGGGCTGGGTGTCACTGTGGGGATGGGGATTGTAGACAAAGTTAGGGGACTGTGCAGAATAAAAGGTGGTCTTGTATAGGATGAGGAAGCTGGGAGCAACTGTGTGGGACAGGGTCTCTGGTGGGGGCTGGAGGTCTTTCCAGGAGGCTGGGGCTTTCCATGGGCACTGTGGGAAACTGGAGTGCACTGTAGACACTGGGAGGGTACTGTGGGAAACGTTTAAAGTCGGGGGTACTATGGGGGCTGGGGGCTCTGCAGCAGACTATGGGGTACTGCAGGGAGCTGGAGTGCACAGTAGGTGGTTGAGGCATACTGTGGACCACTATAGGTGGTTCAATGGCACTATGGACCTGGGAGACACTGTGGGAGGTTAGGGAGTCAGGAACTGACTTGAGGCCCAGGAGGAGGAAGGCCGTAGCCCAGCAGTGGGCCACAGCCCAGTTGTTGAGAATCATTATTCTGAGCTATCTAGAGTTTTTCTTCCGTGTCTTGAAACAGACAAAAACTGAATGTCTTATTCTCCATAGGTTGATCCATACCTGCCTTATGAGTTTACAAGTGAAGGCATGCTTCAGAGGCTCCATGCTTATATCCAGCACCAGGTAAGCTGTATGTCTCTTACATGAGAGTTGTCCATAAAAACCTTATTATTCTAGGTATGAATTGAAGAGTAACTCTACTTTTGTTGAAAGAGAAACATTTCCCTCTGGGTGATCCATGTACATTGCAAGGTAGATTCTTGCCCTTTGTTATTCTGAAGAAATAACTGTTTTGTTTGTTTGTCTGTCTGTGTCCATGTGCAGAGTGGATCTGTATGGGAGTGATTTTAAAATGATCAATCAGCTGGTGCACCTGCAGGGCTCTGATGAGTAAATTGGTAGGGTCTCCATCCCTTTAGATGTGAGTTTGGGAGTATCTAACCATAAATTACATTTTTGTTGCAGGGGTTGCCAAAAATCAGACTTCTGGGGAAAATGCTACAAAAGTGGAGTTATCCTTTAACTGTTTTAAAGTGTAATTTAAATACTAATATAACTGTGCTTTACTTTTCCATACACAATGTTTTTTTTGTCATTTGTAATTGTGTATGTTCACGGGGGTTACCATGTTTCCTCTAAACATATACATGTGCTAACCTCCTCCTGCTTAGCAATGCTGTGCAATAGTTGTACTTGATTGATACTCTTTTTTTCACTCCAAGAATCTGTCTGATTGAAAACAAAAAAACTCTCTGTATATTCTAAACCTGCCCACATGGAAAAAAAAATATATTTGAAATATATTTAAAAAATATTCTTCCCAAATATATTGACATATATTTGAAATGCTACAATTTTGGCCAAATTCAATATATTTCAATATATATATATATACACAAACACACTGGTGAAACTCGAAAAATTAGAATATCGTGCAAAAGTTCATTTATTTCAGTAATGCAACTTAAAAGGTAAAACTAATATATGAGATACTCATTACATGCAAAGCAAGATAGTTCAAGCCATGGTTTGTCATAATTGTGATGATTATGGCTTACAGCTCATGTAAACCCCAAATTCAAAATCTCAGAAAATTAGAATATTACATGCAATCAATAAAACAAGGATTGTACATAGAACAATATCAGACCTCTGAAAAGTATAAGCATGCATATGTACTCAGTACTTGGTTTGGGCCCCTTTTGCAGCAATTACTGCCTCAATGCGGCGTGGCATGGGAGCTATCAGCCTGTGGCACTGCTGAGGTGTTATGGAAGACCAGGATGCTTCAATAGCGGCCTTCAGATCTTCTGCATTGTTCGGTCTCATGTCTCTCATCTTTCTCTTGGCACTGCCCCATGGATTCTCTAAGGGGTTCAGGTCAGGTGAGTTTGCTGGCCAATCAAGCACAATAATCTCATGGTCATTGAACCAGGTTTTGGTGCTTTTGGCAGTGTGGGCAGGTGCCTGCTGGAAAATGAAGTCAGCATCCCCATAAAGCTCGTCTGTGGAAGGAAGCATGAAGTGCTTCAAAATCTCCTGGTAGACGGCTACGTTGACCCTGGACTTAATGAAGCACAGTGGACCAACACCAGCAGATGACATGGCTCCCCAAATCAACACAGACTGTGGAAACTTCACACTGGACTTCAAGAATCTTGCAGTGTGTGCCTCTCCATTCTTCCTCCATACTCTGGGTCCTTGGCTTCCAAATGAGATGCAAAAGTTGCTCTCATCAGAAAAAGGGACTGTTTTTCTTCAGCCCAGGTAAGACGCTTCTGACGTGTGTTGTTCAGGAGCGACTTGACAAGAGGAATACGACATTTAAAGCCCATGTCCAGGATCCGTCTGTGTGTGGTGGCTCTTGATGCACTGACTCCAGCCTTAGTCCACTCCTTGTGAAAGTCCCCAACACTTTTTAATGGCCTTTACCTGACAATCCTCTCCAGGCTGCGGTCATCCCTGCTGCTTGTGCACTTTTTTCTTCCACACTTTTCCCTTCCACATAACTTTCTATTAATGTGCTTTGATAGAGCACTTTGTGAACATCCAACTTCTTTTCAAATTACCTTTTGAGGCTTTCCCTCCTTATGGAGGGTGTCAATGATGGTTTTCTGCACAACTGTCAGGTCAGCAGTCTTTCCCATGATTGTGATTCCTACTGAACCAGACTGAGAGACCATTTAAAGGCTCAGGAACTCTTTTCAGGTGTTATGGCTTAATTTGCTGATTAGAGTGGGACACTTTGAGCCGAGAATATTGCACCTTTTCACAATATTCTAATTTTCTGAGATTGTGGATTTGGGGTTTTAATGAGCTGTAAGCCATAATCATCACAATTATGACAAATTACGGCTTGAACTATCTTGCTTTGCATGTAATGAGTCTCTCATATATTAGTTTCCCCTTTTAAGTTGCATTACTGAAATAAATGAACTTTTGCACGATATTCTAATTTTTTGAGTTTCACCTGTGTGTGTGTGTGTATATATATATATATATATATATATATATATATATATATATATATACTGCATGTTGAAATGCGTTTTTATTACAAAATATATCAAAAATATTTTTAAAAATACAGTTTAAATATACTGTATGTCTTTAAAAATTCAAATCTACATTTTTGGAATTCATTTACAAATATGTAAAAATATATGTTAAAATGACTTTTTTATATGTTAAAAAAAAACAGGAATATATTTAAAAAATATATATTTTTAAAAATATATTGAACATGGCCAAAATTGTAGCATTTCAAGTATATGTCAATATAGTTGGGAAGAATGTTTATAAAATATATTTCAAATATATTTTTCTTCCATATGGGTGAGCTTACACCTCTAGCATTTCGTTCGAACGTTCGGAGAAGTCTAAAAATCGCTCATCCAACCAAGGCAATGGCGCATTCAGGGACTCGACTAATTTCAAATAACATGTTTGAGCACCATGTTAGTATCTTGAGTTTCGTAGAACATTCTGCTTCTGGATTAACTTTGACAAATTCCTGCACGTAAGACTAGTTATGATTTTTTTCGGCTGGGTGTAAATTCAGCAATTATAATTTGTTTCCATTAGATTCAACAAAACGTTTCCATCTTTGTTCAAGTTTATTCGCTCACTACGGTCAAAATCAGCTGTTGAATTGTCCCCTTTAACTCTTGAATAATCAAAGAACATTCTGAACTTTTCGTTCAAACGAAAATTCTACAGGTATAAGGCTAGCTTTATGGTTTCACAGAGCCATAATTGGATATAATGCTACCCTGGGCACAAGCTCTACCACTTGTGTCATGCAAATATTTTTTTTGTAGAAATTAATGTGATAATGCATTAATGGAAGCATGAGGGCTTCTTTATATTCAGAATGCCTTTCAACTGGGCAGACTAACAAACCAGAAGAAGAAAAAGTTTCATGTCTCCTGAACTACAGTGAGATTTCTGACTCCTCTTAATATCCCCTGAACTCTCTCTCTCTCTCTCTTACTATTCTCTTCTTAAATTTAGCCACAAATTCTAGAGGTGACTAGAGAAGGAAAAAAATAATTTTGAGTCTTGGTGCTGCTCCCTCTAACCCATTTTGCCCTAGACACTGACCTACAAGTACCATTGTTGTAAGTAGAGCCCTGGGCTTATGTATGAACATAGGGTGTCCAAAAGATTTCTAATGGTCCATAACAACCATCTGGGATCTCTGTGTTATTTTTAACCTTGCACTGAAAAAAATTACATTTGGAAGCTAATTGGCTGTTATGAGCAACAGGAAAGGCCCTTGCTAGCATGCTTTTTATATATAATAAGCTCCTAGGGGATGATCTAAGCTGGTTTGCTATAGGTAGCTCAGGGGTACTCTGGAGTTTTTTTTTTTTACCTGGCAAGAAGCAGATACTATACACACTCAAATTAAAAATGTAATTTAGTAATACTGACTTTGCTGACCTCTTTCTGAAAATACTAGTTGCCTGGCTCCAGCTTCTATACTTTCCAAGATGCTGACCTTTATTATTATTATTATTCAGGATTTATATAGTTCCAACAGTTTGCTCAGCGCCTTACAATATAACGGGAGACGATAGAGCAACAATACAGTTCAATACAAGAGGGTTAGGAGGGCCCTGCTCCTTGGAGCTTACAATCTAAGAGGGAGGGGCTAGTGGTACAAAAGGTAGTAACTGTTGGGGATGGACTGGTAGGAGGAGTAGAATATTCTATTATTAGCTGAGGCCAGGATAGGCTTCCCTGAAGAGATAAGTTTTCAGAGACTGCCTAAAAATGAGCAGAGTAGGCGATAGTCTGATAAATTGGGGTAGAGAGTTCCAGAGGGGGGGGAAGCTCTGGAGAAGTCCTGGAGATGAGCATGGGAGGAGGAGACAAGGGAGCTAGAGAGCAGGAGGTGCGAGGAGCTGAGTATGGTTTTGGTGATATTTAGAGACAAGATTGCTGATGTAATTTGGGGCAGAGTTATAAATAGCTTTATATGTTATTGTTAATGTTTTGAATTTTATCCATTGGGCCAGTGGAGGAATTGGCAGAGAGTGGTGGCAGATACGTAATGGTTAGTAAGGTGGATGAGTCTGGCAGCAGCATTCATGATAGACTGAAGAGGGGATAGCCTTCAATGAGGTAGGCCAATGAGGAGGGAGTTACAATAGTCAAGGTGAGAGATAACAAGGGAGTGAATAAGTTTGCTTAGTAGTTTCCGAGGTTAAGAATGGCCGTATCTTGGAGATGTTGCGTAGGTGAAGTATACAAGATTTGGACAGCCATTGGATTTGGGGCTGAAAGGACAGATGGGATTCTAGGATTACACATAGTACCCTGGCATGAGGGGAGGGACTGATGGTTGTATTATTGGTCTTGATTGAGAAGTTAGGGGAGGGAGCACGGGCTGGAGGGAATACTAAGAGCTCAGTTTTGGAAAGACTGAGTTTGAGGAAGTGGAGTGACATCCATGCCGATATGTCGCTTAGTAGGTTAGTAATGCGAGAGGAGACTGAAGGGGTGAGGTGAGGGGTAGAAAGATAGATTTGTGTGTCATCAGCATAGAGATGGTACTTAAAGCCATGGGAGTTTATCAAGTGACCAAGGGAGGAGGTGTAGATGGAGAAGAGAAGGGGTCCAAGGACAGAACCTTGAGGGACCCCTACAGAAAGATGGAGTGGAGAGGAGGAGCCAGAATTATGGGTAAAGCTGAAGGAGCGCTGCGATAGGTAGGAGGAAAACCAGGAGACAGCAGAGTTTCGCAGGCCAAGAGAGTGGAGTTTTTTAAAGAGGAGGGGATGGTCAACACTATCAAAAGCCGCAGAGAGGTCAAGTAGTAATAGTACGGAGTAGTGGCCATTGGTTTTAGCAGTTAGTAGATCATTAGTGAGTTTTAGTAGGGCAGTTTCAGTGGAGTGGAGTGAGCGAAAGCCAGACTGTAGAGGGTCAAGAAGGTTGTTGTCAGTGAGGTAGGAGCTCAGGCGATTGTAGACTAAGCGTTCTAAGAGTTTTGAGGTAACCTGACCTGGAACAAACATGCAAATTAGAAAGTCAGAGTGAAGTCAGGACTCTTGATCTGTAGAAAGCATTAAAGTCATTGGAACATCTTGGCAGCCTGATAACTAGCATTTTCAGATGTTAGCAGTTGCCACCTACATATTCTTTTCTTCAAAGTCCCACTCTGGCTGACTTTTTTAATGTGTCAGTCCCCTTCCCTCCTCTGTGACATCATCAAGGGCCAATGTACATCAGAGCCAGTAAGTGGAATTCATGAGGTGCCCTGCATCTTTTGCACCTGAGGCAGGAAAACCCCTTGGATGGGTTGTCCTGTGCTGACTGGCTGAGAGAGTTATCAGCAGTGACAACTCTCATAACCCTCCTTCTGAAAATGAAGCTGTGCAGGGTGACAAGGCTATGATTAATTCACTAGAGGTCAGTTAGCGTTGTCACCCTACGAAAGGAAGGCTTTTTGACTAGCATGATCATAAGGTGTTTTTGGAGAAAAGAGGATGTTGGGGGGTAAAAAAAAAAACCTTCTATTTACATACACCATTTTTATGTATGGTTGTACATTATTGAATATGAATTTGAAATACTGTATATCAGACTTATACTACTGTATAAGCGATTTTAATTTCAAACTACAGAGCAATTTAGCCATAGTGATCATTTCCTTTGCAGCACATTACCTTAGGTTCAAATATTTAAATCACACAGTAGCATGAGATGAAAACTGCCCATGCAGTTTAGCCGTTAGGTGCCTATTTACCCATTTGATCGTACGGATTCTGCTCCAGCTTAGCGTTCCCTCCATGTAACTGCATTAAATTGTTAATTTGATGAAATTCAGACTGTTTGATGGCTCCCTCTGGGCCACTGATAACATATCCTGGTTTCTTGCAAATGTTCATTATTTGTAATGGTTGCCAGTGCATAATGTAGTTTAAATTCCTTTTATGTCTTTCTCATTTCCTTTTTCCATCAATCCTTTCCCATTCTGCTTTTAACTGCATTTGATTTCTGCCATTTTTTTTTTTTTTTACAATTTCTGCTCTTTTAATTTTGTTCACTGTACCACCTCTCTAAAAATTAATTTATACTCCAGGAATTTTGCTCCCCTCCTTTGCCCTTTCCCATCCCCATGAACACATCTCAACTCCCTCTTCCCTCCTCTTTGGTTCTCATTAATCATACATACCTGGTTTGGCCATCCAATGAACCTGCTCCACCTACCTGGCCCCCAGTCTCTGCCATGCAAGTCTGGCTGTCTGCAGAAGGGGAATCCTGCACAAGTGCATGCTGGAAGCATGATTTGGTGTGTGAGCCCACACACTTCAGTTTAATCAATCAGCGGCGGTTTCTTGAGCAGTGAGTATACTGGAACTTAACACAAAGGTTTGAAAGCCTTGTAACAAATCTACTGTAAAATATCACATGTAGCAATAATTTCGGCATGCAATGCGATAGTAAAATTAGACTGCCAGAAGCTATTCATTGAAGGGAAAATTTACTGTATTTACATTTATAGTTTTAGTTGCTCTTCTAGTGACCACCATATCATTTGTGATTTTCTATCACCTTTCTATTCAGATGACAAGGGTTGCTATGACAAATAAAGAGGAGGAATCTCTCCAGACAGCAATAAAAACCTGTCAAAGGTTACAACTGTTTCCTGTAGTATCTAAAACTATCAAAACAATTTGGATTTAGGTGCCTTTTTAGCTTCAGAACTTTAAAAAGAAGAATCTAACATCTGTTGAAAGAAATTATGTCTATTAGAGCTTGTTTTCGCTTGCTTTGCTCTCTGAAGAACGACCCACTTTTAACCCCCTAAGTGTCAGACTACCGCACCACAACCACTTGTGTTGTGTGAGGTTGCAGTGCAGCCTCATCCATGTGGGTCGCAGTCGGCTGGCGGTATTGCCCACCGAGAGCGACAAGGGGTAGAATTTGTGCCGCAGCTGCCAAGCAAAGTATCACAGCCATGGCATTTGTACACCCCCAGCTGCTGCCTTCCCAGTTAAAATGGGAGCAGCTGAGGGTCGGTAAAAATGCAGCTTGTCATGGGAATTTTTCAGCTCAGGAATGAAAACCTGATCCTGGTAAGTCTGTGATACCCAATTCTACAAAGCTACCTAGAGACCAGACAGAAACTTGATTCAGTTGATCTGCTTTAATTTTTTGGTGCTTCAGATTAAGTACTCAGATTGATTTATGTAATGTAAGCTGTGCCAAGATATGAAACTGACCAATCAAAGATTAATATGATTACAGAAAGCATTGTGTTAATTGTCTGGTGATTATGGTTCATCAAAAAGTCATAAAATGATGTTGATTTCTTGTGGCTTAGGGTGTCATTCAAAAATAGAGTTCAGATGCTGATTTTCAGGAACTTGTTTTGCCACGGGTCCTCCATACATAAATTATAAGTTTCATTAAGTTGTCTGAATTATTTTTGCAATACGCCAGGGTACATATAAAGGAAAGACATAAGGACAGATTAAAATTCTTATAGTGCAGCCATTTTGTCCTAAACAGCCATCTTGCCACCGCAAGTTCAACCCCCCCCCCCCCAAACCACAAGTGCAAAAGAGCCCCAAGTGTCTTACAGGGTGGCTATTTTATAAAGTTGTCCTTTAATTTACCTCCTCCCCTTTCTCTCCCAGCACCCCCCACAATTTTGTACTCAACTCACCCACCTGAGCTTGTGCAAGGCCTGTGCTGTGACTCTTAGAGAGCTGCACAAACAGACCTTCTCTTCTGTTGCACAAAAAAAATACCATTAATTCATTTGGAGAGGCCATCTATTGTTGGGACTGGAATGGAATGAAATGAAAGTAGAAGCTAAGGCATTACACTTCCCCACAGTATAGGTTTCTGCTAAAAAATATACAAGATATAATGTCACGGGCCTGCATCTCTACGTGCACCATCACATGTTTCTTCAGGAGTGCATGCACGTGTTCATCAGATCACACACACCAACCGGACTAGGGTAGAAGTGTGAAAATTACTCGTGTGCACATTCATGAGTGCACTGGTGTGCATGATCATGTATACTTGACCACAACTAACTGCCATGGTCACACTGAACCTGCTGGGATCAAACACAACAACTCGCGCCTGTTTTTCAGACATTTGCAAAAACATTGCTCTAATATGAAAATTATTTCTCAAGGGGCAAAGAGACAAAGTCCTGCAATGTGTGCAGGAACTTTGATGCCATCCAGGTTTCTTAGACCAGTGGTTCTTAACCTTATTGAGTTCAGGGCCCAGTAAATTCTTCCAAAACCTTCCATGCCCCAACAGTAAAAAAAAAAAAAAAAACTCAAATAATAAAAGTATGGGAATACAAAATATGTATTGAAACTCTGAAAGGCTCTAGATGGGGCTGAGTGTCACTGCGGGGGATGAGGGTTGTGGAGGGGACTCTACAGCAGACTTGGTGGCCCTGTATGTTATGAGGTTTCTGGAGGGAGCTGGGGGAAATGGTGGGGGATGTATCTCTGAAGGGGCTGGGGTCTTTGCAGGGGCATTGTGGGATACTGGAAGGTACTGCAGGGGCTGGGATCAATGTATGACACTGCAGGGGACTGGGGGCACTATTAAAGGTTGGGCAGCACCATGGGTGCGGAGGGCTCTCAGGAGGCTTAGAGGCACTTGGAGAGGTTAAGGGGTACTGTGGTCCACCAGGGTAGGCTGGGTGGCACAATGTAACTGGGAGGCACTCTGGCAGGTTAGGGGAGCTGCAGCTAGCTTGAAACCCAGAGATAGGGAGGCCGCAGCACAGCAGTGATAGTTGAGAACCACTGTCTAAGCGCTTTCTGACCAGTGTTATGGTGACAAAGGCTGAAAATACTCCTGGTGATTAAAGGGTGCTTGTTTTATGTACCAGTTACCTATGCACTTGTTCATTGTGAAGTAGGTACAGAAACAAATGAACACAAACAGGATTTTAAATGAATTACACCTTTTATTCAAGCTGACATTTCTGCACAGGCTAGACGATCCCTACGGGCATAACTACTGCAAAGAGCGGTGTGCAAAAGTGCTACCAATCAGCAGCTGTCTTCTTTTTTACTTTCACAGCCTTAAGGGATAAAAGGTAAAATATAATAGGATGTGAGCTACTACAGTGCATATCATTACTATGGTTTGTGTAGTACCATATCTAATTATCTTGTCTATGTTTTTACTGTGGCATTAGGGAAAAGGGACACAAAAGGTTAGCACACACTTTACAAAACTCTGCATCAGAAAAATAAATCACCTTATGTAAATGGTATAGACAAATTCGCAGTTTCACGCAATATTTGACACCATTGTCTTTCATCTCATCCCACCCAGAGCCTTAGAATTACAGACGAGCATTGACTATTGGTAGGTATGAGTTAGAAATCAGTACACAGTAAAAATTCAACAGTTACACGAATTGCTCAAAGGCACGCAGAATACAAAAGGATTTGTGTTCAAATCCAAGGTGGTTGTTACGTTGAAAATAACATCTACCCAAGATCTCAACAGATTTGTTATGGTCTTTTATTTTTTCATCTCTATGGAATGTGCCAGAAAGAAAACTGTATCTGATTGAAATTAAAATACGTCCTAAGTTTCACCTGGAGAGAAGAGGGGCTTTGGGTAAATCTGTCTTCTTGTTAACTTCTTAAACCTTCAAGAGGAAACAAAGCTTTCAAAGCCTCTAAAATCAAATACAGAGGTAGACAATCATAAGGACTTATACCGCTTTAGGGAACATTTCTCCACTCAAGGTGAAGACAAATTCAAGCCAAATGCTCAGCAGAGATATGGGTTGAAATGCAGTCAACATACAGATATTATGTACTGAAGAGTTATATTCACACTTTAGCTTTCACTCCCAGAAGGTCAACTCATACCAGCCCTTCCTGGAACAACATTAACCCTCACACTGATCTTCCCCGTTACACTACCGTTAACCCTCCCTGTAGCCCCAACACTAAACTTTCGTTTAACTCTCATGCTAACCCTCTCTGTTGTCCCACCACAAATCTTCCCTGTAACCCCAATGCTAACCCCCCCCCCTCCTGTAACCCTACATTAGCCCCCATGTAGTCCTAATATTAATCTTCCCTTTAAACCTCATACTAACTCTTCTTGTAACCCTCACACTAGCCCTTTTTTAACTCTTAACACCAACATGTAACCCTCACACTAATTACCCCTGTAAGTGTTCTGATAACCCTTACAAGAATCCTCTCTATAACCCTAACACTAACCGTCATACTGTCCATGCCTGTAACCCTCACATTATTCTTCTATGTTACCCTCACATTATCCCTCTTTGTATTTGTAGCATTAACCCTCCACATAGCCCTAATTCCTCTTTAATCCCAATACTTCCTGCATCCTTAACGCTAACCCTTCACACCAACCCTTCCTGTGACCCTAACATTAACCTTCCCTGTAGCCCTCACTTTGTAACCCAACAATAACCTTCCATGTAACCCTCATAGTAACCCTTCCTATAGCTCTAACACTAGTTCTCCTTGTTACACTAAAGCTCATTATATCTCTAACCATTACCCTCCTTGTAAATCTAAAACTAACACTAACCCTGCTTTGCAAACCTTATACTAACCTTCCCTGTAACTCTTAAGACAGCGGTCTCCAAACTGCAGCTCATGGACCAAACGCTTGCCTCTATCCAACCCTTGGAGTACTATTCCTCCCACTGACACAAACAAGGAGGTACCATTTCTTCCACTGGCACAAACTATGAGGCATTTTTCCTTCCACTGACACCAATGATGGGGCACAATTCCTCCCACTGATATAAACAATTAGGTACTATTCCTCCAACAAATGCCAATGATGGGGCACTATTCCAACTAATACAAAGTATGGGGCACTATTCCTCCCACTAACACCAATGATGGGGCACTATTCCTCCTAGTAATACCAATGATGGGGCACTATTCCTCCTAGTAATACCAATGATGGGGCACTATTCCTCCCACTGATACCAATGATGGAGCACTGTTCCTCCAACTAATACCAATGATGGGGCACTATTTCTCCCACTAACACCAATGATGGGGCACTATTCCAACTAATACAAAGTATGGGGCACTATTCCTCCCACTAACACCAATGATGGGGCACTATTCCTCCTAGTAATACCAATGATGGGGCACTATTCCTCCTAGTAATACCAATGATGGGGCACTATTCCTCCCACTGATACCAATGATGGGGCACTATTCCTCCTAGTAATACCAATGATGGGGCACTATTCCTCCCACTGATACCAATGATGGGGCACTATTTCTCCCACTAACACCAATGATGGGGCACTATTCCTCCCACTAACACCAATGATGGGACACTAT